CCCATTCGTTTTGCTTTTTGTTTTTTAGATATATAAGTAGATGTAGGTAATCTTGCAGCCTTCGGATTATTTAAATTTATTTGTTCATTTAAAATGCCATTTGTTTATGAATCAATAAAAACTTTTAGTATTAAATAAAATAAAAATCTCTAGTAAATTTTCAATGATAATAATTACCTCAATCTGATCCATAACATATTTATAGGCTTCAAACGCTTGATTAGTTAATAAGCTTGGGAACGATCCTTCCAAATCTATTAATTCAGAAATTACAGGAGGCCAAATATGCAGTGATGGATCACAAATATAAGAATAAAGAGGGACAGTCTCTATTAGATTGTCGGTTTGTAAAAATCTATAAATCTTTTTAGTGCCGTAGCAAAAACTTCTGCAGAGAACTTCACGACTTTTCCATTAATAATTGTTGCCGGTTGTTTAGTTTCAAAATCTATAATATTTTTAATATCATCTCGTTGTATAGATGTAAGTTTTTTCTTATATTTATATATACTCAATTGTTAAATTTGCTACTTGTTCCTCTATTAATTCATATAAAGAAATTATGTGTTTAAGTTTAAGGGGTTTGTTTAACAAGTTACGAAATACATGATTTTTGTTAAGTCCAGAGAGCGTTGACCATTGGTTTACATAATCTTTTATGAAAATTTCACCATTGCCACAAGGTATCCGTTCAATAAAGCAAAGTAAAATCTCCAAGGGTGAAAGAATTTCTGATGGATTATCTAATGATGTATCAATACCACTTGACTGGAATGTATATGGCAAATTTGCTGGTGGCCCTATTAACAATTCTGCAAGTTCAGGTGGAATTGGTTCTTGAGGAATTATATCTCGTATAACTTCAAGAATGCACATTGATACTTGAAATAATTCCATATGATAAGAAAAGGGTTGCATATATAATGATGTATTGCCTACTGTATCTATATAAACCTTTTCAAATACAAGTTGCCATGCAAGTTCAACTTCTATTTTTTGTAAATCAAATAATCTCTAATCGCTCATGATGTTTAAAGAATACCACAAGAAAAGGATATTTTGTTTCATATTGCTTCAGATCTCCGTTATAGTAAGCACGGAAACTATTAAAATTGACGATGTTAATTGTACGCCAAAGTCGTGGTAATTTTGAAAGACTGTATTCATCATCTACTGCTCTTGTTTGATCAATTTCAGATTCGATAATGTTGGTATTATTATCCTGACCTTCAGCCGCAGCTGCTAGTGCCATGAGAAAGTTTGTTACGGTTTCAGGAACACTTCTAATTAATGGAGAAACGTAATTTTGTGTAAAATGCGTTTCCCAGTCTTCACGCTCAACTGGCGTCTTTAGCATTGACGCAGGCAGGGGTGTTTGTGTCATTGAAGTAAGTAATGAATGGAATAACAATGCTAAATTTTCATCAGAATTTGTCTAAGAACTGTCCAATCATTAATTATATGATCCCAACAATATTGTTCAGTGTCATTCGCTGTTTGGTTATGTCTACGTAGGAAGTTTAGTGTTGCTTGAGAATGCGCAGAGGATCCAATTAGGGCATGGACAATTAAATGTAAAATTCTATAAGAAGAAGGTGGCATAGATCGAACTGAATGATTAACTGCCTTATTAACTTGCTCTCCAATATATCCAGGTTGATCTTTAAATTTCATAGGTGTGTTATCTAATCTTCGATTTCCTGCTGCTGATAAATGGTTCACCCCACTGATTGTATTGTTTTTACATTCTGGACATGTTATCCCCATAGCTTGTCCATGGATAGCAATTACATAGATAAATCCACATTGACACCTAGAAAACAAAATCTTAGTAATAATTCAAAAGCGATTATTAGCAATAACTTGAACGTCTTACTGAGTAATTTGTTCCCCATCTCCAGTAATTACTGCACTTAAAATTATTGATTCAACGTCGGAAACAGTTGTCAAAATGAACGTATCTTGACAAGCTTCTATCTTATGAAAATATGTCGCAAGTGGAGTAGAATCTGGAGGAATCGAAACATGCAGTGCTATAATATGATCTATAACTGATTTTAAGTACAATTTACTATAATCTATAGCATTATCCAAGCAAAGATGTGATTTATAGTTTGTGTGTATTTTCAAAATCGTTTGTTTATATCTAATTGATAAATTGTTTAATTTACAAACAGCTTTCAAAAATTCTGCAACGTGATGTTTTAGTGCTCTCCGTTCACTATCAGTATGTATGCGTGACATGATAAGTCCAATTAATGCAATCCTTACTATTTAATAATTGTTGCATAAAAACTTGAAAAGGAGCTTTATTACCCGTACTGCATAATTCTTTAAATGCACTCTCTGCCTGACAATATTCCGATAGCATCCAATATGGATTAAGTGGAAAGCAAGTATTTTTATTATTATTCCATTTAAAAGTCGACAACCAAGGAAATTTATCGGTGTGTACTGCGCAAAATCGTTTTACGTCATCAAATTGAAGACCTTTGTGACGTAAAGCTCGGAGAAAATAGACCTTAAGTGAATGAATTAAGGGATGGTCTACACTCAAAAAATTGTTGATTTCTTCAATAAGTACGTCACCATCAAATTTGCCAAAATCGATAAATGAAATTGGTTTAGTATAGTCATCTGCAAGTTTTCGATCCCACAAACTAAAAACAAATTCTTTAAGGAAAGCAATTGCTGATATGCGTTTCAATGGTTCAACTGTTTTTTCTAATAAAGCCTGAACAGCATGTCTAAAGTATCGGGCCATACTTGGAATATCTATATAAATAAACAACTCTTTCTGAATAATATCACAACATAGAGTTGCCATTGAGGAGTCCAGATTATTGTTTTTCAAGGCAAAATTGATTACTTTTAAACGGGGTGAGGCTTGTAAAACAACCTCCGGATCTAGTAAGATCCGTAGAAACGGGTCATTGATTGCTTCTTCTTCTTTCCAAAATATTTTGGTAATGATTGATTCCATAAGTGGTAAAGGATCCCTTTGTGTAAAGATGTTATTATAGATATGTTCCCTAACTACTGAATCCAATGGGATGGTGTCAAGACATCTCATTATAAAGGATCTTTGTAAAGACAGGCATTGCTCGTTTTTTTCAAGCTTTGATAGAATGCCTAATACGTAATCGACAAATTTTTTAGATAAAACATTTTGTTTATCAGATGACAATCCCAAGTTTATAATTTTCTTAATGTGTGATAATTGTATTAATTTGGATGATACAATATCATTATAAATAAGTAATAATTGATAATAATTGATATGATCTTAATTTATTTGGTTTTAAAATCTTCACACTAAACGTTAAAATCTTGTTAACTTTGTGTTGCCATTGGTATTGAGTTGTACTCATAACTTTATCTAACATAACGTTTATAACCTTATCAACAAGAAACTCTTCAAATGAAATGACTGGTCTTTCCCGTACAAATTCATTTATAACCGATGGATGCATTTGAGCTAATTGTAAATTTGCTAAAATAATATTAGAAACTTTCCACCAATAGAGGTGAAGAATAACTGGATCGAGTACTTTCTCTTTTCCTATATGTAGCTGTAATAATTTAGCAAGTAACCTAGAATCTTTCTTATCAGCATCATCAGCGACAATAATCGTTACAAAATCGTCAAGAAACCAGTCAGAATAGTCTTTAAAAACCTGATCGTTGATAGCCGGAAATAATGCTTTGACATTCTCACTAAATCCTTGAACAGCATTTTCAAAAATATCATGAGAAAGTTCTTGATCATCACAGTTTTTCGGATTTTCTTTAAGTTTTGCTAGCTCATCTTCCCATATTGGTTTGAATTTATTAATTTTTTTCATAAAATAGTATGAAAATGGAAATTTTAAATCATAAGAGAGCTTTGGCATCACATATTGATCAAGTATTGGTTCAGGCAAGTAATCAATATTTAAGACTTTTAGGTCAAAGAACATTGTTTTTAAAAATGCAACCAAAGTTTTATTTCTATATTTTTGATCAATTGATATTAAAGTTTTGGTAACTGACAATTTCTCAAGAGCAAATAGCAATTTGGCGATTGTACGTTTAACCAATGATCGAAGATATGCCAATAATGCGGTAGAAAAAGATGAATAGGGATATAACAATTTTTTATCAGATGCAACTGTATATTGCCAATCGCTTGCGGAGCTTTCCTCTAACCATTTTAATGCGTATGTTTTTAAGCATTCAATAAGAAGAGAACTCCTCATTATATCTATTTTCAACATTCTATAAAAATATTATAAATAAAATCGATTAAATTTATAACCCCCCACGTAAAAAAAAAAAAAAAAAAAAAACTTACTTTATATGATCAATTGATTTTGAAGTAGATGGGTACTTTATACATAAAGACAATACATGCTTTAAAATCTCTTCAAATTTGTATTCATTTATAACAATATCTGCTAAAGAACCTCTTAAGATAGTTGACAAATTCTTGTGATGTTAACGTCTCGATTGTAACTTGTTTCCATCCACACATAAAATTAAACGAAGAAATACAAGCTTGATCTCGTTGAATATGGAGAATGATGCTAACATATTTAGTATTATTTGAATTTTTTCGTAAAAATTCATTTTGAAATTGTTCAATAATGGATTTCGCCAAATTAATACACTCGGAAGTAATATCGCATTGAATGATTAACATTTGTTCGTCTGATTCCTCCCAGAACCGTTTTATTCGATTTTGAAGTTGAGCTTCCGTCTTAAACATTGATAATATATCTATTTGACATGTGAAGAGATCTCGTAAACACTCAGCAACATCTGTATTAATATTAGAAAACGTATTTATAATGAATCTTGTTATTTTTGAGTCCGTGCACATAAGCTGTCCAAAATATGTACGAAGACTATCATGATTTTGTTGTGGAATATATTCGTCAGTTAAATTGCGGAAATAAACATTACTCCACAAATTAATTTCTTCAGGATCCACATTTGACCTTGAAGCTCTAATAATTCCATCGGGGGATGCAATGTCAATTAAAGCTGCTTTGCATCGTCTAATTATTGCTTCTTCATTATTTTTAGGGAACTTTTTCATAACATCAATTACTAAACTTTGTAAAGTTTCGTTTTCATCAAAACCAATAAA